AAATCAATTTTAAGTAACCTTTATTAAATATAACAAAGTGAAATCTTTTTTTGCAGATGAACTTGAACCAAAACCTAAATCGAAGTTAACTGACCAAGAACCCGGTAAATAAATTCAAACGAATCATCTCATCTTGTCGGTCACGTGAAATAATGAATTAAAATTTTTATATTTTTTATATCCGCTTTTAGAATTCACTGGATCCATACGTTTAAACATTAAGGGAACAAACCATTTTAAGAATTTGAATGATGTTGAAAAAGAAAATTTCATCGAACAAATGAGAATAGATATTGCAAAAAGTATTCCTGTTGATGGCCAAAGGATCACTTATCTAAAGTATTTTGTTGGATATAAAGTAAATGCATTTAAAATAAATCACCCAAATGAAAATAATTTTAACAAAAAAAGTTCAAAAGAAGTCTTTGTGGATTTTGTTAAACTACTTGAAGTTAATGACTTTATGACAGCTTTGGATATTTATAATAGTACACAGTTTATCGATAAAAAATTTGGATTTGAACCAACAAGTAAATATTAATTTTATATAAATCCTTTCCTTTTAACTTAATAATAATATATAATTCCCAATCGCTTGTATTTAGGTAATCGATGGGAGGAGATTAAAACGATTGTGCAAAACTACTTTGATCCAATAACTATAGGACTTATCATATCACTCGCTTTCCTGTTGATTAACTTGTATTTTTTTGGTCGATATAAAAATAGAATGGTACGTTTTGTTTTGATGTAGATCGTTACGAATTTGTAAAAAAACTAAATTCTTAAACTTTTCACAGGGATGCAATACGATTGTATTTAAAGCTGCTCTTATTATTCTCGATATTGTAAACGATATTTCATTTATTGTAACAAATGAAGAATATTTGCAAAAGTTATTAATTCCAAGGTAATAAATAATATTAATCATTCAAATTATAATGGAATATTATTAATTTAACTATTTTTTTTGTAGCATTGTGTTTATCATTTGTCCAATTCTTATAAATACATGCTTAGCTTTTTACATATTCATATTTGAGACAAGAAAGAATCCTAAATTTGCTGATTGGTTTAGAGAGAATTCGAAATTAGCCGCGATAATCACATTATTTAGTTCGGGAAATATTGAATTACTTCATTTGCTTGATTCTAACTATGCAGGATATAAATTGTTTTCTGCTCCATTTTCTTCAAAAGCAATACGTTGGATATTTTGGGGTGGTTTTTCGAATATATTTATTGAAGACTTACCGCAACTAATAATTCAGGTGAGATTTTAGAGGTGGGATTTTTCCCATAACTTTCATTTTTATTATGTATTAAATTTATTCTACTTTTATAGATAATATATGTCGTATCTCCTAATACAGGATATAATATATTTGCTTTATCAGCTTTGATTACCGGATCTGTAATATTATTAATAGATGTAATCGGTTTTATTTATGATTTTCTTGCAAAGAAACAGAGTATCTATATTAACAAAGTATCTAGAGTTGAATAAACTTAGGGATTTGGCGTTAGGATTTGTTGCCGGACATTGCAGGAGAATTTGGAGGATATCATTAATTATTAAATATATATTGTATTATATAAAATAGTATTTAAATAAAAATAATGTATGAATTATCATTATTAATATCTTAAGAAATAACGTGACAATTATTATTCGTTTAAAAAATTGTTAATGAATAATGACTTTTTTTTCTCCTGACCACCATGAATCATGTGAATGGGCTGGTTTTTTTTTTTTTCTTGGTCATTCGTTTCTTGTGCACAAACAGCTCAAAAAAACTAAAAAAGAAATTACGGATTTCCCGCTTTTTCAAACTAACGCCCTCAGTCCCATTTAGGTTCTGCTTATGTCGATCAACTGATATACAAAAGTTATGTAATATTTATTTAACATTTCATCTGCTTCTGAGATTTTTTTTTTTTGCAACGCACAAAATTTTTAATCAAAAAACCAAATAAGGTTATTATAAACCCAATTTTAGGAGGTTTGAAAATTTACTAAATGCGATTGTATTTGCAAATCAGATAAACAACCAAAAAATTGTTTCCAAAATGATTTATTAAAAGTTTGCGCAACCTAATGGGCGCTTTGCAGAAAGGACGGAAACTCCGATAAATATAATTTGAGTTTTAAGTTTTGGTCACATCAACAATCCGCGCATTAATACAATTACTGTATAATAAATAATTTTTTAACGACATTTAATGTTGTTTCTCCTTTTCTTTTGTAAGTATAACTTCTTCAACTTGGTTAAAGTAAAAGCTTTGTCTTTAATAGTACGTTGCTTTATAAATGTCATTAATGTTCGTTTCTTCTTTTTTTGTAAGAGATAATGAGTTTGATTTGGGAAAACCGAAGTGATCAGTTACATATATATGTGTCGATTCCTTACTATTTTCAGATGCCAATCATTTTTGTGTAACCTTTGCTTATATTATTGGCAAAATCAATTTCATTTATAAGAACCGACAAAATTCATTTTTCCTTACGAAATTAAACTTAAGAATTATTTTAGGAAAGTAAACTTTCTCTCTAATGATGGTGATTTTATGAAATTATTTCCTGTATCCAAACAAAGTGATGGAATGAAAAAGCAAATAAATGCATTTCCAAAAATTTCAAAAATTACACATTTTTAAAAAATTACATATGTTTTATATACAGCCTCCCAATAATATAAAGCAAGAGATCTGTCATCATCAGGAGCTCGTACTGCAATAGAAACAATGCTTACATAAAATTTCTTTAGTTATTAAGGATTTCATCATGAGAAGCAATATCTAATAAATATTCTCAATTATCTTGCTTAAATGTTGTTATTAAGAATTAAAGTTCTAGTTAGCAATTTGGAATGATCAAACAATAAGTATGACGACTGAAACAAATTGATACAGTAAATGCTTTTGAATAATGAATAATGATTTACTAAAGATAATCGAAAAAATACATTAGTTTTAAATTTTATTATATTGTAATTAACATCATTTTGAACTACTTTATAAAAAAAAATCATCGAGTATCAAGTTTACCTTCGTGATACATCAACACGTGATATTGATAAACCATATAATAAAGGCATCCTTAAATGTACCCCGGGTTCAGGATATTATCCTAGACCGCAACTGTACTTATCACGTGATAACTACTTTAAAAAATATTTATTTATACATGGGGTCTAGGATAATAACCTAAACCCGGAGTCTAGGTTAAATTTTCCCTATAATAAATTATCTCCAAGCAAGCCATTAGCAGCAGAGCATTGTTATTACCATTTTCAGTTCTATACGTTTATATTTATAAACAATTGTAAATGGTAACAGAAGATTTTATTAATAGGCAATCAAACAATTATGATGTAATATAAAGATGAATCAGTGTTGTCTCAAAATCGGCGCTCTAGAAATTCGCAATTCAATTTTATAACTCAAATAAATTAATTAATGAAAGCTACGAAAAATAATAAATTTGAAAAATAAAAAACAAATAAGAAAATTAAAATTTAACGAAGTTACAATGTTACGATATCGCAAGGGACAGAATGGTGTGTATATTTCAAAGAAAAAGAACTCTGCTAAAATCCTAAAAGAAACCCGTTGGATTTATTAAAAAAATAATTAGGACAGCCTGGCGCCACTAACAGCCTACCATCCTAAGCGAATTTATCCTGAACGATCTTTGGGCCAAAATTATCGTTTATCGGGAGGAATTATATCAATGTAATAGTATCGACAACTCGAATATTTTTTGTTTCATAAACTTGAAGTCGATGATTAACTCATACTCTTTGGGACTCAGGTACCTTTTAACAGTACCGCATGAGTGAAACGATGCATTTGTTTAAAAATGAAAATATTCATTAATAGATTTGGAAATTTTCCTTGTTATATAAACTGATGTGTTGGATGATAATTACCTTTGATATTGTTCCAATCTTCATCGTCAATTTCTTCCTTCATATTTGCATTTCAAAAAATCTCAATAGAAGATTATCATATTAATTTACTGTAAATTTGAATATGGGACGTTCTTCAAGAAAATCTTTTTGATTGGGAATTTTCCCTTTACTTTAAAAAAATTTCCAAGTTTAAACCCACAAACCCAAGCGTGAAAATGAAATATCTGCAAACTTTTTCTGTAAAGAGACAAAACGGGTGATCCTGTCCAACTGGTGTTACAAGAGATTGGCATTTACGAATGGCGCAATAGCTATTGAAAATATTGATGTCAAAATGTCATTTATATTAATTATATCAATTATATGTGTTAAAATAATTAAAATTTATTATAATTGTTATTTTTGATATATTTGTTATTTTTATTATGTTTGATATATTTGATATATTTATTTTAAATTAGTATTTAGAAATTTTGTATATAAACCCCGAAAATCCGCTTTGTTCAAAGAATAAGGTTAACGTAACCAACTACACAAAGAATCGTATTAAGTAAATTGGGGCCTTAATTAGATTTAATCGTTGTTTGGTTAACCTGGTTTCGATACAAAATCGGGTTAACAGGTTTTTCGAAAGGAAGTCGTGTGTGAAGAACAGTTTTTGCACGAAAGTAAAATAGGTGGACGGGTAAACTGAAATGTGAATTGAGGGGTGGTTTCACCCTTATTTCCTTTTCTTCCTAGCCTAAAAGTAAATATTTAGGTAAAAAATAAGGCGATTTATAGAAAGTTTTTTTCAACAAATCATGTGATATTAAAATCGAGACATGAATGTAGGTTATTATCCCCATGTATACAGCGGGTAAACTTAATTTGTTATCTTTAATCCTGAATAATTTTTAATTTAAAATCAATTGCTTTCAAATTTTTTGAATTAATTAATTGCAGTACGAGTTATAAAAAAGATCAAAAACACGAAGGTGTTAGTTTATCATTCGTATTTGGATGTCACAATTAATCCACCAAAATGTTACTTTGATAAACTTTATGCTAAGACTTTGTTTAATTTCAATGGAATAGTTTTGGAAAACCTTACTTTTATCAAATTTAGGGAATTTTTTTGCCACGTTTTGATCTTTGCTTTCTTTTGAGGTAGTTTTAACCTTGCCTTTATCTGCTACTTAGAAATTATTTTGTGGGATTAGAATTTTCCTTGATTTATTCATGAAAATTAGTCAAACCATCTGGAATTGGACGAAATATATCGCAGAACGATGGAATAGTTTGTTATGATAAAATTCATTCTGATCTCAGTCTTATTAACCATCAAAACATTAGCGCTTCATTTTTTATATTTTAGATCTCTTCGCATACATTTACCCAGTAATTACTTGAAGTCTATGAAAACTACCATTACCACTGATTATTATATCGAACCAATCATTGTATTTGAATTTATGATATTTTTATGAGTGTTGATTCTTTGGCTCTATATTCATGTAGGTCTTATTAACAATGCTTTTATTCTTGGTTGTAATATATTGCATGAATTTATTCACTTAATTTAAATTATAGAAAACAGTCGTATTCGCTATACATCTTCAAAAAGCAATGGCCGAATTTGAGAAATATTTTTTTTTTGCTTCCAAACGAAGTTGGTTTCTACATATGTGTGTAAATTAATGATTAATTAAAGGGGTGCTGTTTATGAGAAACCATCCTTATCTTTTTATTTGAAGTAAAATTTAAACAAACGATCACTAGCGTCAATAATCAGATAGCACGTCACAAATTTCTTTCGATTTAAGAAGGTTTGGAAGTCTTTAAAAAAGGTTCAACGAAAAAAGCTGATAAAGCTAATTTAATAAGCCGATTGTTAATATATTTATGGCAAAATTTTTTAAAAAAATCAGAATTCTTATAAGTTCAGATTAAAATGATAGCGGAGAAAGAAATTTAATAAAAAGAATTATTAATGAATAAAAATTAACAATTAATATAAAAGATGAATAGATTCGAATCTTTAATTTATTTTTAGTAAATAGAAATTTCATATATTTCTTCTCGATGAAATAAATTATTGATCAATATGCTTTTTATATATTTATAAGCTTAAAGGTCGAAATATGTGGGCGATTTGCAGTAGAAAGTGAGGAAACTACAAAAAGAATATAAATTGTTACTTTACATGTCGAATAATATCCTTGAAACCTGTTCAAAATGTCGCAATGCATTTTTTTTCCTAAATTTCACTACAAATTAAATTTCATTGAGAGATATTGGGATGCTGCCAAAAGGTATTCACTGAATATTGTGATTACAAATAGTCTTTGATTCAGTGACTATTAAAATGTCTCAAGAAAATGATAGCTTTACACGGTTCTTTATAGAAATGGTATTGATGGAATCTTGGTGGAGTATGCGATATAAACTCCTATGCCTTATAAAAAAAAATTGTCCAGAAAATGTTATCGAAAATGTCCGGGTGCATGTCCGGAAAATGTCAAAATCGTCCGGAAAGTGTACCAAAACATGGTGGATTCCGGACATCGCGTGATGTCTTGATATTGTCCGAAACATGGTGGATTCCGGACATTATCTGAATACTACGGCAAATTCTGGACAAATTCCAGAATTGTTTCTGCCAAATTAGGTAATGTATCATCTCTCATTGTTTCAATTGAATTTGATTGGATAAAATTCATAGTTTAGCATAAATTAGCACACGCTGAATGTGATTAATAACAGAGTTAGTTCTTAATTGAAATAATTTTATTTCTATTTAAATTCAAGGCATAATAAATAAATCATATTCTATAGCACAACACTTGAAGCTCAGTAAATTCTGTAAAAATGAGAAATGGTCAGCATTAAATGTTTACTTTTTTTTATTATTATTTTAAAGTCATGACAATCAATAAACTATACTTGATAAAATGGTACATGATAAAATGATCGTGTAACATCTCGATTACGGTGTCATATTTGTGATAATGAATCGAGAGCACTCCAGCCATCAAACCTTATTCGCGAGTATTTTTCTTTATTCAACTATGGGTGTTAAATAAATATTCATTGTAGCTGCACGTAAGGAAGTACAAGAACAACCATGTGAAAACAGAACACGCGTCATAACTTCCCTATTTATTAAGTCACCGTTTTGGATCCTCATTTTGAAGAAGAACTAACTTGTCTGCTCCGGGAAATTCAATAAATTCATTAATGAAAGGAGCGTTAAATTCGTAAAGGTAAATCTAAAGTAATAAAAACCAATAATTTTAATATTCATTCCCAAATATAAATAATATATAATGAGAAAGAGTTTGGAAATTTATTGTTCACCAAATATTTGGCAAATTCCGTTAAGGAACTTATCTTTTTGGTTGCTATTGCATAACTTGTATTTTGCTCAATCGGTTTGGAGTCTGTTACGTCATTGTCATTTTATTTTTATTTCTATTTATTCAAATAACTAATATATAATACTATGATCAGATAATTTTCGGCCAATGTATCAAGTGATGCAAATTTAATTTTATTTTTAATCCTTTTGTTACAAGAAGGAGGTTTGCTATTAAATCACGTTACGGATCATATGATTTACTATGTTCGTAAACTCGATTTTAATGGCAAACCTCCCATGTGACTTATTAAGATTGGTTTAAAAGGTTTAATTATGATTAAATTAACTATATTTACAGGAATTTTAAAGCAGAATCGCGTTATAAGCTCTGTTCAAAGTTTAACCTAGCAAATTCTCATCCTTTTTTTGTAGCGAAGGATAAGATAATCCTTTTCTTCATCATCATTATAAATAATATACAAATTATTTTGCTGTGTGATATAGAGAGAAACTGCCAAAATAAATAAAATATGAGTTAAAGTTAAACCTGAACATATCTCAGCTTGAAAATCATATTTGGCATATATGATTATTTTCCGGCAGTACCCCTTTCTATTGTAAAGGTTTCATTCCTTTGATTGCTTCAAGGATTCCACGTCGAATAATGATCAGCCCGATCACAGTATTTTTTTATTGACTGTGAATGAGGCAATGGAATGTTCAGCAATGTGGTGATTACTCCAAATCTGTATTTTGACTTATCAAATCTTCATATTGGTCCTATTATTGTAATGATAATTATAATTAGCATAATGCTAACGTATGGTTAATTAATATTTGATGTTACCATATAGCAACTTGCCAAAACGATGTATACTTCATTAGATCGTTTTCAGCAATAATTGCTGATTCATTGGGTTATTAACGGTTAAAGATTTTAGGACGGTTCCAACCTCGCAACGATTTCTTCAGTTCGAACTGTGGTAGATTGATGTGGTGGATCAGCGACATAACCATAAATAAATTCGTACAAAAAATCATCAATGCGGTATCGTGCCATCCAATCTGAGTTATTTCGTGATTGACTTTAGGAATGTTGTATTCAGCTCAGTTGCTTTCATTTGACTTAACCATGTATCAAGTTAGTTGTTAACCACCTTTATAAGTCCAGTCACTGGAATTGTATGTTCAATGGTCCAGTTTTATATTCCGGTTAGTCCATTTTGGTCCAATTGACGAACACTGATCATAGTCTAAGTCAACCTTTTCACTTTCTTCCTTCGAAGTCTTTCTAGCCCTTTTTTACATAAATTTTTAGCAATACATAAATAGTTCTCGTTAATTACATATATAACACATAGTTCATTACATATTTCATTAATTTCATTACCATTCTATTTATGCGATCAAATTGGAACCTTTAACTATATTATTTCATGTCTTTAATGATTGATGAATCCCCGTTGAGCTTAGACCATGATCCTATATTTCTTTCCTGTAAATTGATTTTCAGCTTTACTTAATAATAATATTTTAGCTCATTAACACATACAAAGATTGGTTATAATTTTGACATATACACAACTCTTCTTGCTGGCTTTATAGATTTTGAGGTTCCTGATCGTTTAATAAACCTATCCATGCATTTTATATAAAGCCCTTCCAATTTCGAACATGTGTGTATTATTTTTCAATTTTGAAAAACCCTCACACATTGTCATATTGGTCTTCTTCTTTTAGCAAAGACTTTGATAAGTTTATGACGATATGTTCAATTTAATTCAAATCCAAAATTAGTAAGTTCTATAAATTTAATTTTTTCTTATTTCTACATATAATGTCATAAAGGGTTCATAATAAAAAAAAAGATGAGAAAAAGTAAATGGCAAATGAAACGGATAGTATATGAATTCTTTAAGAGCACGTATAGCTAAAGTCTCATATCGGTTTTTTACTTCTTTGAATAGAATTTGATTGTCAAGCTTTTCCTTTTTCTTTTTTCTTATTTCGCGAATTAGTAGATTCAAGTTAAATGTTGAAAACGGTTAAAAAAGTATGGCTGAAATTCAATATTCGGCAAAAATTAAGATATTTATACAGTGTGGGACAAAAAAAACCAGAATTTTTTTTGAGAAATAAAAAGATGCAGATCACAGCCAAATAAAGTCCGATCCGAACTATGTAAAAAGGAAATAATCGTAAGTGGGTATATAATTTTTTTTTTTTTTTTTGTATTAAAATTTTTTTTTCATTTCCTTCCCTCAATATCTTCAATTTTTTAAAAAACCCTAAAATAAATCAATTAATTAGAAACAATAACCTCCAGACAAGAAACTAACCATTAAGCAATCTTACAATTATAGAATCGAGGTATTCAGAAGGCTATGAAAATCCATCAACACACTGGAATTTCCCTCATAACTGTATACGACAACCTTACTAAGCTTCATGAGTCTGGGATGATTTAGCGTGTAAAAGGAAGTGGTCATCTGAAAAAGATTACGGCTAATGCATCAAGAGCATTAGCCCAATTCATCTGCTGAGATTCTCTATTTTAACAAGAACCCTATCAACGAGGTTGTCATTGAAAGGTATGAATGTGTCCTATAGGATAGTAGGAAGCCATTTAGCTGAAATTGGGACAAAACTCTGTTTTCAGATGAGACTGCCTTCTAATTATTCTGAAATACTATAGAGCGCTAGCATAAAAGACAATAACTAATACGCCCTATATTCACTAGTCAAACGATGACAAATCAGCATACAATCAGATACCAATAGTATGTCTTATTGGATTTTGATAGGATAACGGTAATTAAATATTGTACAATATGTACGAATGCTGATTTTGGTTAATTAATAGCTTCAATCGGCTTATAATATTCTATGATCAGAATGCGAGATCGGATTGTTTATTTGAACTGAAATATTTACTGATTGTAGTAAATGAATAATACTAATTATGTTTAAAAAGAAAAATAAAACCACATCGGGTTGTACTAGAATTTTACTATTTCATTCAATCAGTAATTCTGATCGATATTGATTTCTTAATTTTATTAGTACAGAATTATTTTTATTTGTCCTGTAGAATATACATCAGAATACATTATTTTACTATTTATAATGCTATTAATATTAATTTTTGCAACATTGTATTAAATTGAAAATAAACTATTATTATTAATTTTTAAAACGAATCATTATCGGCTACAGCCATCTATACCTCAGTTTTCTCCGATCTATTCCTGTTAACCAATTCATGTTTTGTTCGTTCTACTGATCAGTTTCTACTATTTCCAATTTTAGACTTTTTTGGAGGTCGATTAATGGTTTCTTCAATTTCATGTCTTTGTTTGATGTTCCTGATCGATGCTTTTTGATACTGTTAGTGTCTGATCTCAACACATTAATAGAGCCAGGAATAGTAGAACCAGTAATACAAGCAGTAGGAACGGTAGTAGGAGGAGGACCTTTATTAAAATTATTAAAACCAATGGTAGGAGTAGAATTTGTATGAGGAGTATTAGAACTTGTAGTAGAAATGGCAGAACTATTAGGAGTAAGTGGTAAAGTCAATGATTGTGAAAGTGTATTTGAAGAATGTTCATTATACACTCTTTGTACTGCTGTTATCAATAAGCCACTGTAGCCCTGAAGAGTTCACCTAGGTGCTTTGAAAGAAGCCGATTGCTTTTTATCATAAAAATTATGTTTGTCGTAGATTCAGATTCACTTTTTTGGGATTTTTAAAGATTCTAAGAATATACGATCAACATAATCTCTTAAAAATGAACATAACTATGAATAATTATAGATTAATTTACAATTAAAAGTTATAATAAATATCAATAAAATTTACATATCTTACTGTATAAGAACGTCATCTTAAGTCCTTTACAATTATCTTTTGTTGATTTGATGGATATTCTTCATCAGATTCTGATACTTCAGGCGAATAGTATACATTATTATTTATTATCAGATGAAGTTCTTGCTCTTTAAAAATGTGAACTAATGGATCGTTATTAGCCATTAGATGCTCTATCAAATTTGCTCTATTATTTCGTTTCTGTAATTATAAAATACAATAAGATCAATGAAGAATGAAAAATCAAATAGAAACGGTTTACTCACATCGGCTCATCTACTATTTAGGTGTTTTCTTTTAGTTTATTGAATTTGTATTGAGACTGATTGCTGTTTTTTTAAATGCTCCTCACGTTGATGCTTATATCTGATATGTAGCATATCATATACATCATTTCTGAAACAGGAAACATTTCTATATCCAGAGCTTATATAACAGCCAGCACGATTGTATTGTTTACTAATTGTCATTATAATTCAAATGTATGATTTAAGTTCAAGCGGCTAGAAGTTGGCATTCTATTAATTATCCAAAATACTTGTCGCTATAAATAAAGATAAAGATATATCCATAATTAGTATGTATATATATTGAAGTGAAAATTAATAAAAATTCTTACTCTTAAGGCATCTTAGCGATCTTTTGACAAATCCGACATCCAAAAATATTTAGATTGATCAACACTGGAAGAACTTTCAGAACTTCAAATAGATTTGGTTTCATCATCAAAAATAACTGATCGTGATTGTGAATCATCAAAAGTAGTTGATCGTGATAGTGATTTTTCATCATTACTGTCATTATTGTCATCTCCATCATCATTATTTGATTGATCTTGATATGTTGATTTTTACTTTGTAACATATGTTGTAGTATTTCCTAGATGTTCTTGTCTTTCAGAAGTATTTTAACTATTTATGTAAATTGTTTAATAATATAGTTGATACATATATTGATATTAAAATAAAACTTACTTTCTTCATTATAATCCTGTTTATCATGATCATTATCACGATCATCAAAACTACCATCACGACTATGGCCATATTTTTTACGAAATCTTCTATATAATCTGGATTATTTTAAGACAAAGAACTTTGTCGAATAATGAAATGTATTAATAACTATTGAAATCGAACGTATTGTGTTACTTATCATTTAATATTACTTATCGTCTTTGCTTTCTATGTCTTTTTCTATCAGGTGAATAATATCGGCTCTTTTTCCTCCCGTTTCTCTGACTCCTTCTTCTAGATCAGCTTTTATCATTATCTCTTCGACTTGTTAAGCTTCTTCCTCTTCCTTTGCTATTATCTCGATATCTGCTTCTGTTCTGACTATGACCAATACAGGACGAAGTTTAAGGTTTTGACGTCATATTTCATGTAAAGTAAAAAATCAAAAATAAATGAAGCGGAAAGAAAGTATTTTTAAATTATTTTCCTTTCATTTTTTTTTAGAAAAATAGTTTAATTTAATTTTAAAAGTTTAATTTACTTTCATCATTAAGTTGATTTAGTTGATCAATAAACTTCGATTATTATTAATAGTATTGTTCTATTTGATTAAACTTTTATCAAATTATACTTTTTCACATGCTTTTAATATAAATGTTGAATAAAATCTGCATATATATTTAAT